AATGCTGTGAAGACCTGCCTGGAACTGCTTAATATAAATAACTGCACACCTTAGAATATTAACCAACCAATCAAAATGAAGCCCGGCCCAGTAGTATAACAATCATTTACTTTTTAGCTGATGCTTTTACCCCAACCAACTGATTTAACACATTCTATGGGTCACAGTTTATGAGTAAAAGAGTTCCCTGGACTCTTGTGTTGTTAGTGTCATACAGTACTGATGGAGTCATGAGTACACTTTAAAGTGTCCCACTTCCTCTTTCATAGTGTCTGATACACCGGAGGGGAATTTCCATTCAGTTTCATCAGAAACCAGGTTTATCACAGGTTAAACAGACAGTCTCCTGTACTCTTCTTATTTCTGGAATATTACTGGTCAGCTTTTGTTGTTCATAGCTCAGATATACAAGATGTCATTCCAGTCTGTGTCATATACAGTAGTACCACAAAAAAGAAAAGCATCTTATCTTTTTATGTGGCTGCACACTCTGGAAACAATCCAAGCTTCTTGTATCTGCAGTCACATGCTTTCCACTTTGCAGTTGCTGATTTTGAAAGTAAAACCAAGATTTAAACTGCACATTGTTGTTTGCTCAGTCAATAGGAGGAGCTCAAATCAGCCACCGAGAATAACTAGAGACACACTGAGAGACCAGGAACGTCCCCTAACTCACTCTAGACCAATCAGCATCCAGAGTCTGGAGCCGAAGGTGTGTCTAAGAAACATGGGTAGAATATCAGGAAGCTGCAACATGAACACAACTCAGACTGAAGTTAGACTGGAGTGAACTAAAGCAAACCGGTAAGAGACGCTCCTTCATTCAGATCATTATAGCACCTGTGCTGCTCTTATATCTGCACACAATACAATGTCCAGTGTTTCACACTCAGCATCAGCACAACAGCAGATTCTTCATGTTTGTTTTTGCTCCTGCAGTTGATCATGTGTGACCGTGTGTGTGAGTGTGTGTGTGTGTGTTAGTGAACTCTACAACCTGACGTGTCTTGATAGATGTTCTGGCCATGTTTTGTTAGAGCACAAAGGACTTTGTTTATGTGACATGATTAACTTGTATTTTACTTCTTTAGTAGAGACCAGCATCAACTAAACCCAGTCTGGTTAAAGACTGTAGCTGGTCACAAAACAAGTCTGACAGCATTTCTATGTGTCTTACTCAGCCTGCTTGTGTAGTTTGATGTGAAAGTGTGTTGTTAAAGCAATATTTTACACAAACAGAAAGAGGAAAGGCTGCTCGTGTGGGGAGTTATTGTACTGTCTAATTGTTACGTTCCCGTTTTATAATTAATCTAGGGGAATAGACTCAAAAAAGTCAGCAATATTGAGAGTTGGGTTCAACGGTCTAGGTGGGAGCACAGCAACAGTACACTAACTGAAACTCTAGCACAGATTTGACATTAAGTATCAGTCAGCAAACACCAAAAACAACAACACTTGTCTGGGGCATTGAGCGAGACAGCTCAAACTCTCTCCTTTCCTCTCTCTCTCAACTGTGCTTTCTTTGTGGTTTTATAGCTGGTTTCCTCTCTGGAGGAGCCAATGAATGAGGAGTTAGTTGGTCATCAGCAAACGAGTATCAGGTGCCAGTAATCAGCTCCTATTAGAGCAGCAGCACAGGAGAGAAAAGAAAACAGAAGGTACACAAACTCTTGACTGACCGCAGAACAATATATATTACTAGAGCCCGACCGATATGGGTTTTTTGGGACCGATACGATACCGATATTAGGGAGTAAAAAAAGGCTGATACCGATATATCGGCCGATATTCTTTGTGTATATTATAGTACAGTACCAGTCAAAAGTTTGGACACTTTCCCATTCGTGTGTCCAAACATTTGACTGGTACTATATATATAATACAGTATATACATATTGCAATGATCACTCAAATGTGGTGATCAAACACTTATAATGACGTGACAGAGATACGGAATGGAGGCAGGGTATTTAACAATTTAACAATAAACTTTATTATCCAAAATGAGTCTGACATCAGTGCACTGAACAGTAAAGTTGAAGTTTATTCAACTTTAATTCAATTCAATTCCATTCAACTTTATTCTGTTGAAGTTTTTCACTTCGGAACATTCATTCATGGATTTGCGCTACTGTCTTCACACACAGACGAAACTTACTAGAGAAGTGTGACATAATATACCTCTGTAAATAAATACAATATAAATAGGGATGCACGGAAAAGAAAATTCTTGGCCGAAGCCGAAACCCAACAAAATTAAACACTGGGCCGAAGGCCGAATACCGAACACGGTTTTTCTAGTTTTTTTCCCCCAAGTATTTTGCCAATTTTTTTTCCACCATTGCATAAATTAAAGCCCTCTCGAATGCCACCCTCCGCGCGTCGGTAGGGGGATCGCTTGATCGTTCGGCGCCAGACCGCAAATTTAACCACCCATAACTCCTGAACCCCGTAGGCTATCGATGCGGGGGTGGTCTCATTCAAAAGCGGGCCTCTAGACGTACACTTGATTCGCATTCGAGAGGGTTCCTCGAGCTGAAGGGATCCCCCGAATTTGGTGCGGATTCGGCCGTTCAAAGTTTCAATGGTTTTCTATAGACTTAAGCTTTAAAGCGTTTCATCCAGGACGCCAATAGCAAACAATGGAGCGCGCTCTGCTGGACAAACGAAGTAATTACACCATTTCAAGCATTTTATCTGTGTTATATGTTCTGTAAAAAAAAAATTCCATATCGGCGGCGTATTCGCCAATACCGATATATCGGCGACAGGCGCATAATATCGGCAAACGATATATCGGTCGGGCTCTACAAATTACGTCACAGGACGTAACACCCCAAAGCACAAGAGGTGTGTGCGGCTTTGCCAATTGAGGCGTCTTTGGAATATGACACTGTAAAAGCAGCCATTTTGAGAGCATACGAATTGGTGCCTGAGGCATACCGGCAGAAATTTAGAGCATGTTCAAAGCAAGCCAAACAAACTTACGTCGAATTTGCTAGGGAAAAAAAGACCCTCTTTGAGAAGTGGTGTTTTGCAAGCAAAATGACCACTTTCGAAGAGCTGCAAGAATTGGTCTTATTGGAAGATTTTAAAACATGCGTGCCGGAAAGTGTTGTAGTTCATTTAAACGAACAAAAAGTGACAAAACTCTCGGATGCAGCAGTACTTGCAGATTAATTCAAGCTTACCCATCGGACGTTTTTTTTATTCTGGACGTCAAACAAAAACGGATACGGGATCAGCCCAGTCCTTCATTTTGGAGGATGTGCTGCCTTTCTCTGACGCTTCGTATACCGGCGCAAATGTTTTAAATTCTTCCAATAAGACCAATTCTTGCAGCTCTTCGAAAGTGGTCATTTTGCTTGCAAAACAGGATTATTGGAGTATTTCTCAGTGTGGTTGATTAAAGGAAGAGAAATGTGTTTGGGTCTCCAGTGGTCATGGACAAACCAGTGTGCTTGATTGACACGGCGTCCGATGGGAAGCTGTGTGTGCAGGGGTCAGCGTTGCAGGTTCTGGAGCAGATCCAGCAGCCCGTGGTGGTGGTGGCTGTGGTGGGTCTCTATCGCACCGGGAAGTCCTACCTGATGAATCGACTGGCCGGGAAGCAAACAGGTCAGCAGCACTGATGCCATCCAAACGCTCGTGCCCTTCAAATGAATGCCTGCAAGTCATTGTGGGGTTTCTGGTGTGTGGTTATCAGGGTTTGCACTGGGCAGCACAATCGAGTCCAAGACGAAGGGCATCTGGATGTGGTGCGTGCCTCACCCCACTAAAGCAAAAACCACTCTGGTGCTGCTGGACACCGAGGGACTCGGAGACGTGGACAAGGTGACAAACTAAAGTAGTTCTATCATATATTATCTATATGTCTTTCTGTCTGATGGTTGGTCAGTTGTCCAGGCCTAGTGGCCAAAGTTCTGTATGCTTGTTTACTTTTTGTAATGACCGACCCAAACCAAACAAATATCAAACTGTACAGTTTACACCAATCTCGCAATCACTGATCATTCAATATCAGGAACTGTGTGTCTGTTATGGGTCCTGGTCTCATATCGTCTTATCCTGTCTTTCTCAGGGCGACTCAAAGCATGACACCAGGATCTTCTCTCTGGCTGTCCTTCTGAGCAGCACTCTAGTCCTGAACAGTCGAGGAACTATTGACAACAGGGCTATAGAGGAACTGCAGTATCCTTCTGATCAGAACTTATATTTCATTTTCAGTTTGAAGTTTGTTTAATATGAGAGCTTGCAGAGTATTTAGGTAAATAGGTTAGTACTATGTAAATTAGAAAGACTCCATGTAAAATACTTGCATTTTTAGTACACTTTGAAGTATAGTCTCAGTAAACTACTAGTTATGTATACTTATAAGTTTTCTTTAAGTGAACTTTACATCATACTTTAAGTATACTATGTCCCTATTCATTAATGTGTATATATTTTGTTATATGATTTTCTGAACATACAAAACATCAAAAGAAAGAACAGGGTATCTGCTTGTAAACAAAAACATTTTATTCTAGCTTCATGCATTCTTTTTTATAAAAAAAAGAAAGAAAGAAAGAAATAAACAACATTTTAAACAAAAAGCTGAAAAAGACTATGAATTGGATTCAGAATGATAATCAAAACGTAGATGGAGTCGATCAACACCCCAAACCGTGACAATCATTTTTACCTCTTTATTGGTTGACATTTTACTCCATAATGTTACACAGTTTTGATGCTGTTTTATGTCAGATGATCATGTTAGATTACGTGTGGAAGCATCTGTTGTTTTGGTTTCTTCTTCGCTCTTTCCCTGTTTTGGAAATTCTGTACAGAAGATTTGTATTAGCGCCCCCTACCGTATAACAATGAAAGCATTTTCAGAGCACAAGTATAGCTCAAATAAATCAAGTATAAGTCAAGTATACTTAAATGTCATTTGAAGTATATTTCTGAGAAGTACATAAAAAGTAGACTGAAAGTATACTTTCCTATTTTTTTAGTTTAAGAAATATACTAATAGCACACTTGAATAAACTTATTTTTCGTAAGGGTGCACTGTGTATTTTGACTGAAGGACAGCTTTGTGTTGTTCTCTTGAAGGTAACTCGAGTCAAGTGAACAATTACAACCTTCCAAGAGAGTGCATTCGCAAATACTTCCCATCTCGGAAATGTTTCACCTTCCCGTTCCCAACCAATCCAGACAATGTCTCTTATCTGGAGACACTGGACCCAGCTGAGATTTCAAAACGATTCTTGGAGGTCACGGGTCGTTTCTGCCAGTTTATCTTTGACCAGAGCCAAGTGAAAAATCTGAAAGATGGACACACGGTCACCGGCAGAGGTAACTCATTGGTTCATGTAGACAGTGGCTAATCCAAGAGATCATATTTATTTCTATAGCCCTTCTCACAATACACATACTGTAGTTGTTTCAAAGCAGCTTTCTAGAATGTAATACTGGAATGTCTGCAATGCCTTAATACTTTAATTTTGATCAGTTTTAGAGCTGGGCGATATGATTTATGTTGAGATTTGGCCATACTGTATTTATTACTTTGTCTAGCATATAAATCAGTGCCAGGACTAAATGAAAGTACTGACATCAGAGAAAAATGGAAAGAAGCTTTAATGGTATGGCATTAAAACGCAGTGTTGTGTTGTGTTGCGATATATTAATGCAAGAAGCTGTGTGAGTTATATATGGCTTTAAGTAATGTCTTGGTATAGAAAGAAAACTCATTTCAGGCATTACTGTGATGGGAAGTTACTCGTGTCATGGTATAAGATTTTGGTCATATCGCCCAACTCTAAATGGTTGAATCAGGGAGATGCTAGAAATTCACTTCAAAATGATGTGTTGGTGGTTAAACATACCGCATGGCTGGCTAATACGTTTAATATTGATAACAACCACAGTTCCGGTACCACAACATGCGATGGCGCCGCAGACGGCAGCCTGAGTGTTTGGCTCTCCAGTGTTTGTACTGTTTTTGTTAGTTTTTCCAGTTTTTTGTTTCTCAAACACGATCAGTTTTACCAGGGATGAGGTGCTGAACATTCGGCAGAACACACCACACAATCTTCTACCGGATTTCGTTTATTCGGACGTTTTGCTGAACGTTGTAGTCGGCGGAGCTGCTGCGCTGATCAAGCGCTTCAGGACGTGCAGATGGGGGAAGAGAGCCGGCGTGCTCGTGAAGCTCAGGAAGCGCGGATTCAGAACGCCGTTGCCGAGCATCCATATGGCGAGCTTTTCAGCAAATACTGTATTGGTCACCGTTTAGTTTTAGTCTTGTTGCTGTAACCACAACACTAGCAAGTCTCTTAAAGTTCACCCGAGAATGAAAATTCTGTCATCATTTACACACCCTCATTTCATTCCAAACCTGCCATTCTTTCGTGGAACATAGAAGAATTTATTCTGAGAACTCTTTAGTTTTTTTGGACATACAAATGGAAGTCAATGGAAACCAAAATGGTTTAACCCAAAACAGTCATCAAATATTTGTTTTTCGAGTGAATTATGCTTTTAATGTTTTGGACTCTTAATGTTTTATAAAGATGTCTTTGCATCTTTATTCATCGACAACTAAAGCTTGAAAAATACTGTTCCAAAACTAAAGCTGATAGGATTGCATCCATTTAATTTGTACCGTACTTGTGTTTGACTCCTCTGCTTTCCTACAGTTCTGGGTCATCTAGTAAAAACATTCGTAGACACCATCGCCAGTGGAGCTGTGCCGTGTCTGGAGAACGCTGTGATCTCAATGGCACTGATTGAGAATGAGGCTGCTTTTCAGGAGGGGCTTGAGGTGTACCAGAGTGGAATGGAGAAGCTGAAGAAGTCCTTCCCTCTGGAACTGAACGAAATCACCTCAGAACACCAATGCTTCAGTCTCATGGCAACACAGACCTTCATGAAACGCTCCTTCAGGGACAGTGATGGGAAGCACTTGACATCTTTAGAGGTCAGTGGGAGTGGACAGATTACAACAATAGATGGCTTTAAGCCACTTTATGGATTGCTCACATTTTTATTGTTTTCCCTTTCAATTAAGATTGTTTTTCTTATCCCATTGGCAGATATTTTTTCTTGTTTTAAGGAAAAACTAACAAACTTTTGATGGTTTTTTTTCTCAAGACTTAATATCTCGAGTCATTTTGCTTCTCAAGAAAAAGTATCTTGTTTCAAGGATGTTTAAATATTTGATATTCGTACTAGAAATCAAGACAACAAGTAAGAAAATAATTTATTTGCAGTGTAGGGTAAAGCATGCAGTCTCTAAATCTTCTGCAGTAGTGCTGATACACCTATGAGGCCTAGAAGGCACTAAATATAGATGTCCCACCCACAATAAAAACTGAGGACAGCCAACAACTACTAAGATTGAGGCTTCTTGTCTAGATTTTGTGGAAATTCCAGCAATAATCTCAGTTACATATTGAAAATTATGTCTTGTATTATGGGTTTTTTTATCCATTGGTTCTGCACTGTACTAGTTGTGGTATCCAGTAGGGATGTGCATCTCCATAACTGAGGCCGATGCGATACGCATCTTGATGTAAAGCCAACGATACGATATATCCTTCCTGTTTTGTTGTGCTGTTTCAGGAAGCCATCAATCATCAGTTTGACAGCTATCTCTGGGACAATGAGAAGGCCTCCGAGGCAAAATGTGAAAGTCTTCTGTCAGTTCTCTCTGAACCAATGACCGAGCGGATCAATCAAGGATTTTATGCCACAGCTGGTGGGTACGATCTCTTCTGCCAGGACCTGGAGGACATTGTGAATCAGTACAATACACTGGCCTATCAAGAAGTCAAGGTGATACATGTTACATTATTAACATAGAACAATGCTATTATTATTATCATAGTGTTGATGACATACAGGTAGATATGAGCAATATCACACTCGTAGCCGTGAGATATGGCTATATCCTCTATATGGCTGGATCAATCAAGTGTGTATGTGTGTTTGTGTGTGTATATATATATCCCTGTTGAAAAAACCAGCATATGCTGGTTAGGTATGTTTTGACACTGGGATGCTGGTCCTTTGCTGGTCCTTGATATATATATATATATATATATACACAGTATATTTAAGCAATAGCACTAAGTATCTTCAGATATGAATATTTTTACCATATCAGGTTTGTGTTTCTTCATAGGTTGCCGAGGTGTTGGAGAAATTTCTACAGCAGAAGGTTGCAGTCACCACCGCCATTCTGCAGGCTGATGATAAACTAACCGAAAATGAAAGAAGGATTTGCGGTAAGTAGAAAAAAGTAGACACAGTAAGCCTTATACATGAGAATATGAATAGAATCAACCCAGTGGCACAGTTAGTGTTAGGGTAAATGAAAGGGTGGTGTAAGGGGATGGATGCAATCTCATTCCACATCTACAACCGCTTTGAACGCTTATGTTTCAGCGTGTCAAACAAGAGGGATGATGTTGTTAGATTTGTCTCCTTCATTGAGCTTCAAGCATGTCTGTTTCTGTAACCACTTGTTTTTGGGCTGACCAGAGGAGAGAGAGCGGGCAGTCCTTCTGGAACAGGAGATGAAGGCTCAGGAACAGAGGCAGCATCAGCTGGAGGAGAAGATGGTGATTGAAGAACAGAATAACGAGGAGAGGGTGAGACAGGTCATACAGAAGATGGAAGAGGAGATGTTCGTCCAGCAGCAGGAGACAAAGCACGCCATGGACAGTAAGCTGAGGGAACAGGCTGCCCTGATGGAGAAGGGCTTTCAGGAGAACGCTAACAAAATGGCCAGCGAGATAGAGCAGTTGAGGAGGAGGAATAAAGAGGTAGAGGACAGCAAGTCCAGAGAGCTCGCAAAGATGATAGCGGATCAGGAGCGAAGAACAATATCCAGCGATATCGTTGACTTGATTGCACAGATACTATTACAACTGAACTGAGCTGGATGTTGACATCACTGAATTCAATGATGAACTGTCTTTAACTGAAAATTTAGTGTTTACTATTGTCATTTTGCATTACCGACACACTGTTTTCCTATTTGATACTGTAAAGCTGCTTTGACACAATCTGTATTAGGGATGTAACGGTTACCGGTTTGATGATAAATCATGATAAACTGTTGTGGATTTTCCCCTGTGATTCCAGTATTAAAGATTGTTAACGTTTCTCCGTGTCTATATTGTTCCTACCACAGCGAACCGTGACATAATTAAGCTTGTCCATAAGCGCCACCTGCTGTCAGCGAGTGGATTTACAGAGACTTATATTTATATTCAGCCTGTGTGCGGTTTCTGTCTGGACCAAAAACGGACCGAATCTGCATGCCCTGCCGTCAATTTTGACCGGTTGATGGAAAAACAAGCTTATGTGGATTCTACACATTTAAACAATTCAGATAAGTTATCTAGAATTATTTACGGAGCAGATAAAATACATATAATCATTTATGAATCAATTATCATTTTGACTGAACTCTTTTCTTTATTTAAAGGCTGAAATGCGAGGTTTACCTTTTTATGAAACGTTTTCAAAGCTTTATTTGAACATTTACATCAGATATTTCAACATGCTCTTAAACTGTTGTCAGTCAAGTTGTCATTTAAAATCCGAACATCATTGGTGATGTTATTGTTTTAGTGATTATGCAAACAAAAAGCCATTTTATTTGTTGTTTGTTGATTTTTAAATATAAAACTTGGTGAAGTGATTTATGTGTCGGTACTTTTTGAACATCTCCAGCATATTTTAACAATACCGTGATAATACTGATAACCGTGATAAGTTTGGTCTCTATATAAATACAGGTGACTAGCATAATTAATGGTCAACTGAATGTACAGTAAAGGAATAATAGTCCTTATTTATGTGGTAGTTAAGATTTAAAACACCAGAAATTGTCTTTAGTGTAGGGGTGTAATGGTTCGAGTATCTCATGGTTCAGTACATATTGTGGTTGTGTTATCGTTGGATGGGAGGACATTAATAATAAGTCATTAATGGTTGCTTGAGACACTTTACACAGTGTTATTACACTGTAAATCCCAACTCTCTCAGTCAGCCTGTGTCACGAATCCGGTCCATGAACTTCCGTCTGTTTGCCATCAGAGGTCACCCTTCTCCCATTACATTGACTCTCACACCACACAGACTGTTACACATCACCCTGGACTGCATTTCCCATCAACCATTGCACTGAATACACGCACACAGCTGAATGCACTGATCACACACACAGCTGAATCCAATCAGACATGCTACATAAGCCATGGACTTCCTCTCTCTCACTGCAGAGTACTGTCTAGCGTTTTTCACTCTCCAAGTGTTAGCTATTTTACCAAGCCATTCCATGTTTATGTCCTGTTTGGTCTCTAGTATTGTTCTGCGTTTTCCACTCTCCTAGTGTTAGCTGCTATACGGAGCCTGTTTATTGTCTTAGTTTTGTCTTTTTCTTAGTTCCTAGTTTAGTCTAGTCTTGCCTGTTTTCTAGTCTTGCCCTGTCGTTTTGCCGTTTGGACTCTGTTTGCCCATGCCTGGACCTTTTCCTGTGTTCCTGGATTTATCCCTCTAGTCTCGCCCTTTTGATTCTGTTCGCCGATCGTTGACCTTCGCTAGCCCTAGGATTATTCTTGTGTCTTGCCCGCCATATACCTGTTTGCCATTGTTCGACCCTGCCTGTGTTTTTGACCTCTCTGCTTTAAATAAAGCTTGCACATGGATCCGCACGTCTCACGTCTCGTCAGCCCCGTTACAGCCTGAAACTTTCGTGTTACTGCACTGGACTAAATAAAAACATTTTGGGCAAGACATTTTCCAAGATGTTTCAGTACACTTGACATAAATTAAATGTTACAAGGCCCTTATCTGACTCTGAGTTTGTTAAATCAACATTACTTTTTAATCACACAATTTAAAAATGCTATGTCATATTAACCGGGAGTATATTATCTTAAATGATGTACATTTAACAAGTTACTTGTTTTTATGTTTACTAAACACAAATACAATTATTTGGTACAACTTTTAATAATTTTTGCATGCAAACATATAATTAAAAACATGAATTATTAATTGTTAATTACTTTGTACATTACATTGATGTCATCAAGTTTTCACTATATATGCTTACCCTGGGCTTGCCGGCTTTCTAAAAACGTCCTTTTTTGAATGCAGATAAAACCGAGGTTATTGTTTTTGGCCCCTCTGTTTCTTCAGGAATGAACATGATTGATCTTGGATATCTGCAAACTTTTTCGGTGTGGAGTTTGGCAACCGTCTCAAGCTTGATAGACATATTAGCTCTGTGATTGGATCTAGTTTCTTTCACCTCCGCTTGCTTGCTAAAATTAAGCCGTTTCTACATGAGAAGACCTTGAAAGGTGCAATGCTCTAATTACGACTAGGCTGAACTGCAGCTCTCTGTATTACGGTATTTCAACGTCTCAAATGACCTGTTTGCATGTGGTTCAGAATGCAATAGAACACGTTCTGAAAGGATGCAAGAAATTCCCGCACGTCAGACCTTAGAATTGAGTTCAAAATCCTATTACTTTTCTATAAATCTTTACATAATCAAACACCAAGTTGTCTAGTTTACGCCACTCCTAAAAACCCTCATAAAGCCTAAGATCGGAAGATATAAAAACAAATGCAATAAATTGCAATGAGCAAAAACAAATGGTGACACCAAATCTGTTGTCTGCAGACTTGTGCAAACTTTGAAGGAAAGGCATCTGTAGTATGTGTGCCTAACATATTCAATGAAGAAAACGCAACACACACTATCTAACACCACAGACGCGGCACTAAGATATAGCACCTGAAACATACAGGTCACACAAACAAAGCATGAAATCATGTCTTAAGCAAAGGTACTAGTCAAACCTAAGAAAGAAGATTAGATAAATGAAGGGCTATTGAGGAATGTGAGCAGGGATAGATATATGGTTGAGCAAAGGTAAGACTTAGATGATTATAAAAGAAGATGTGAATAAGAAAGCCAGTTCATTTTTGGATTCAACTTTTAATTAGTTTAATAAAACTCCTTGTGTGTAAACGAGCCCGGTCTCATGAAAATGCGTATACGCCAAATAAAAACGAAAACTTGTGGTATTGATACACAAAAATGGACTTTGGCGTGCATATGATACACAGTTTTCGCGTAATGTGCAGATCAGTCAATATGTTGAAACAAATCAAAACACTCAATAAAGACAGAGAGACCTTTGACCTTTCTGAGTTTTTCAGTGTTATAAAGTCCTCCAAAGTAAGAATACTTAAAAACTTGCATTGACAACAAATGAGCAGATTCAGACAGAAAGGCTTTGTCAGTCTTACGTAGCAACGACAGTAGTGAAAGAGCCAAAGACGCTGAGAAAACTCCGCTAAGTTATTAAAATGTATGCCAGGGCAAAACAGCCGTCTAGCTTTATGCTGAAATATAGGAACAGTAATGGGAGAAGTTGATGAATGGATAAGACTGCACCGAGAGGAGTGACGTATGCAGCGATTCGGTCGCAGAACACCAGTATTCCTTCCCTCAGTCCCCTTTTAAACTTTATAGCCATTAAAGTAAATCAATAAACATTAAATAAAACAAGAAAAATGGTGAGAAGTCGTGTGGCAGCCAGATGTGCCCTTGTTCGCTATCAACCTGAAGTCACACAAGTCAAGTCTTTGTCGTATCTGTTATGCTTGGCCAGTGTCGTTGTGAGTTTCAGTTTTGTAGACTGTAAGGACCTTTGAAATAACTGCATTTGGTGAAGTGATATGAACACGTAATGCTGTGAAGACCTGCCTGGAACTGCTTAATATAAATAACTGCACACCTTAGAATATTAACCAACCAATCAAAATGAAGCCCGGCCCAGTAGTATAACAATCATTTACTTTTTAGCTGATGCTTTTACCCCAACCAACTGATTTAACACATTCTATGGGTCACAGTTTATGAGTAAAAGAGTTCCCTGGACTCTTGTGTTGTTAGTGTCATACAGTACTGATGGAGTCATGAGTACACTTTAAAGTGTCCCACTTCCTCTTTCATAGTGTCTGATACACCGGAGGGGAATTTCCATTCAGTTTCATCAGAAACCAGGTTTATCACAGGTTAAACAGACAGTCTCCTGTACTCTTCTTATTTCTGGAATATTACTGGTCAGCTTTTGTTGTTCATAGCTCAGATATACAAGATGTCATTCCAGTCTGTGTCATATACAGTAGTACCACAAAAAAGAAAAGCATCTTATCTTTTTATGTGGCTGCACACTCTGGAAACAATCCAAGCTTCTTGTATCTGCGGTCACATGCTTTCTACTTTGCAGTTGCTGATTTTGAAAGTAAAACCAAGATTTAAACTGCATTGTTGTTTGCTCAGTCAACAGGAGGAGCTCAAATCAGCCACCGAGAATAACCAGAGACACACTGAGAGACCAGGAACGTCCCCTAACTCACTCTAGACCAATCAGCATCCAGAGTCTGGAGCCGAAGGTGTGTCTAAGAAACATGGGTAGAATATCAGGAAGCTGCAACATGAACACAACTCAGACTGAAGTTAGACTGGAGTGAACTAAAGCAAACCGGTAAGAGACGCTCCTTCATTCAGATCATTATAGCACCTGTGCTGCTCTTATATCTGCACACAATACAATGTCCAGTGTTTCACACTCAGCATCAGCACAGCAGCAAATTCTTCATGTTTGTTTTTGCTCCTGCAGTTGATCATGTGTGACCGTGTGTGTGAGTGTGTGTGTGTGTGTTAGTGAACTCTACAACCTGACGTGTCTTGATAGATGTTCTGGCCATGTTTTGTTAGAGCACAAAGGACTTTGTTTATGTGACATGATTAACTTGTATTTTACTTCTTTAGTAGAGACCAGCATCAACTAAACCCAGTCTGGTTATAGACTGTAGCTGGTCACAAACAAATCTTTAAGCATTTCTATGTGTCTTACTCAGCCTGCTTGTGTAGTTTGATGTGAAAGTGTGTTGTTAAAGCAATATTTTACACAAACAGAAAGAGGAAAGGCTGCTCGTGTGGGGAGTTACTGTACTGTCTAATGCAGGAGTATTGGAGTATTTCTCAGTGCGGTTGATTAAAGGAAGTGAAATGTGTTTGGGTCTCCAGTGGTCATGGACAAACCAGTGTGCTTGATTGACACGGCGTCCGATGGGAAGCTGTGTGTGCAGGGGTCAGCGTTGCAGGTTCTGGAGCAGATCCAGCAGCCCGTGGTGGTGGTGGCTGTGGTGGGTCTCTATCGCACCGGGAAGTCCTACCTGATGAATCGACTGGCCGGGAAACAAACAGGTCAGCAGCACTGATGCCATCCAAACGCTCGTGCCCTTCAAATGAATGCCTGCAAGTCATTGTGGGGTTTCTGGTGTGTGGTTATCAGGGTTTGCACTGGGCAGCACAATCGAGTCCAAGACGAAGGGCATCTGGATGTGGTGCGTGCCTCACCCCACAAAAGCAGAAACCACTCTGGTGCTGCTGGACACCGAGGGACTCGG